GGTTGCCAAGCCCCTGGCACCAAGTCAGAGTACACGTGGGGGAAAGTCACGTGAGCGTGCCCCTACTGGGTGCTGCTGCTCTGATTGGCGTCAGACTGCCAACGTTGAATCGTCCAAGTCGTCTTCATGTCCAAGCAAACATCGACGGTGGTGACTCTATCCACCTTTACAATGACGATTCTTAGATGATGTCCTGCTCCGGTATTGGTGCACGGTCTGCAGCAGCTTTGGCCCTATTGTTCGGGATTCGATCACCTTAAAACATCAAATTTATGGAAGAAAATGGCTGCGACCGCCATTGGACCCCTTCGCCATGCAGCAAATGTTGCGGAGATGTGCTCGACTAATGTGTTGCGAACCCCTCGGACAACAAGATCATGCCTACGGATGGCGACGCTAGAAAGAGCAAGGACGAGAAGCACAACCTTGCAAAAACCCCGGTACCATTCGTCCATGGTAGCAAATGCCGCTCCAGCATCCTCGGTCTCCGCCTCTGAAGTTACTCACTTCTCCCGCCTCGCATCCTCATGGTGGGACCCTCACGGCCCTTCTCGCTTGCTCCATCTCATGAACCCTCTCCGCCACGACTTCATCGGCTCGTGCCTGCAAAGGCTATCCTCGAACACCTACCCCCCCGACCTCGTCAACAAGAACGAGAACGAGAGAAGACATTCATACCTGGACATCGGCTGTGGTGGCGGTATCTTTGCTTCATCGGCCGCTCGTCTCGCTACTACCTCACGCGTAACAGCCATCGATCCCACAGAAAGCGTAATACAGGTTGCTAGGGAGCATCGGCGCTCTGATCCAGCCCTCGCAGCTCCCGGCAAGCTAGACTATCTTAACTGCGCCATCGAAGACCTTCCCATACCATCCTCCGACGAAGAAAAATACGATGTATTAACCGTGTTCGAAGTCCTCGAACATATTGACTCGCCGTCGACCTTTCTCGAAACCGCGATCCCGAATCTCAAACCCGGCGGATGGCTCATTGGGTCGACAATCTCCCGTTCGCCCATCGCCTACCTCACGACAAAACTCATCGCGGAAGCACCCCTGATAGGTGTAGTACCGAGAGGCACGCATGACTGGAACAAGTACATCAACCCGCCGGAGCTGAGAGGGTATTTTGAGTCTGGAAGAGCGCCAGGACGGTGGGGAGAGTTCATTACGCAGGGAGTGGTCTATATCCCGGCCGTCGGATGGCGGTTTGTTCAGGGAAGTGAGGAGTTTGGGAACTACTTCTTCGGGGTGCAAAAGCTGGGATGAAAAGAATAGAAGAGAAAAAAGAAGTGAAGGCGCCTTCATCGACATGGGCATGTCCAGCATCAATTGAAAAGATGCACAATGTATGACGAATCACGGTCGTCTATCCACCCACCTGTATCAACACTACGCACACTCGAATCGATCGATCAATCAGCAGCTCGGAAGAATTTCCATGCACCGCTCGCTGGGTATGTATATACCATGTGACCATCACCACGACCTCAAAAAGCCAGCAGGCAAGCAAACAGCAACGACCAAAGAAAAGCGAACCGTACCATACCATACAATGTACCACTACTACCAGCACCACTGCGACATCAACTACTTACCACAACTACTCAACTGAATATAGGACCCCCAAGCCGATGGACGGAGGGAAGGAAACACGGTCTCGGACATCGTCACCACCAGTTTTACATGTGCACCTTATTAATGAGGGAAAGAGGAAAGAAGAGGGATATCAAATACAGTGGATCTAATACATGGTCACATACATAGATCAGGGCCAATCTTTGTTCCTCAAAAAGAGCAATAGCCCAACATGTATGACGCTAAGCGGCCGCATCGAATACCTGTAAGCAGTGTTGAGGAGTAACAGAAAAGTGCCGAATGGAATCCACGTCATTAGGTCCGGGCAGCGCAGCACACCGCAGGCTTACTGCCTCCCTCGCCTTCACTTCTTCGATTTCCTCTTCCCCTTTCTCTTCCGCGCGGACCCCTTAGCCTTGGCCTTTTCTTCGCCGCCCTCTTCGCCATCGATCTCGGCATCAATATCACTGCCTTCGGTTTCGACGTGCGAGGATGTCGAAGTATGCGGCACCGACGCCGACGCCGAGGGCACGAGGAGACCTTCGCCGAGCATTTTGGCCTTACACTCGTCGAGGATCTTCTTCGCTTTCTCCTCGTCCCAGTCATGGCTCCGGGAGCTGTCGCCGAAGATGTCGTTGTAGATGGATTGTACTTCCTCCAGTTGTTTGCCTTTTGAAGCGGAGGAGGACGTTGGGTGTGCGGTGGCGGTGGTTGTTGCTGGTTGCTGCTTGTAAGGAGATTTTAATGCTTCAAGGTTGCGGCTTGGATTGTTTATTACACCTCTCCTTCCCTTTCCTCCATGCATCGATCTCTTCGGGGCTGGAGCCGGTCCAGCTTCAATGACCGCGCCCTCGAGATCCTCTTTATCCAGCTCTCCTTTCTCCACCATCTCCTGCAACTTTCGCTGGGCAGAGATCTGCATCATGGCATCACGGTGCTCCTCTCTGAGACCTTCCATTAACAAGTCCTTCGTAGCATTTTCTTCTTCCAGTCTCTGTATCGTCTGCTTTAGCTTTTCCACTTGCGTCTCCTGGGAGGTCTCATAGTGCTCAATCCTCTCCATCAGAGACCTTGTCAATGCCTTCTCCTCTTGGTATTTTTGGTTGATGGTTCTTGCCATCTCTTCAAACTTTGCACTTCGTTTTTCGAGCCGTGCTTTTTCCTTTTCGAGCTCTGGAACGAGACCCTTGGCGACGAGGTCATGTTCGTTCTCCAAACCAGACAGTCTCTCAGTAGCGAGGCGGCTTTCCTCCGTCGCCCTCTCTGCTTTCTTGGTTGCTTCTGAGGCTTTGTCCACAGCTCTCTGGACAACTTCCTCAAAGTACACCCTCTGACTCTCCAGCTGGCTTGTAAGCAAGTGCGTATACTCCAGTGCGATATTGTCCATTTTAGCAACCTCGAGATCCTCCTCTCCGTGAAGAGCAGTCGGTTCACGTCGTCTGCCTGGGAGTTCGACTAGCTTCTCGCCCGGTTTCGCGGCATCTTGGATGATTCGATGAACATAGCCGTCGCCAGCGTAGTCCCAGACTCGCTTACTCTCCAGATCCATGCTGAACGTATGCCCACTTTCTTCGAAATGGGCATATGCATGTTTGCCTTCATACCTGCCGCAACCAATCTTCCCGCATATGAGACACTGCCATAGGCTTGTGTCCACGTGGCAGACTTCACACTCTAGTGGGCCATTGTATGGTTCATATTCCCCTATAGATGTTTTGCTCTTGAATTTGTGTGAAGCCAATCGCGACGAGAAGTCGTCGTGAGTATACCGACAGACGGGACAACCGCCGCCAGACCATTTCTCCAGGCATGTACAGTGAAACACGTGTTGACAAGGTATAGTCAGAAGGCCAGTAGTTTCGTCCATTCGCTCCAGGCAAACAGGACAGGTAGGTAATTCAACCAGGGAGGGAGTCCGAGGTGCCAGTGGTTTCGTAGTCGCAGAGGTTGGAATAAAAGGATCATTCGACATCCGAGGGTAGCTTGTCGTAGGGGAGCTCGGCCCACTGCTCTGGTTCACGGACGACGAAGTCTGGATCAATTCCACCGACTTGAGAAACACCACATGGCAGGTCTCTGGCTGCAGGATCGTCAGGATACCTTCAGAGACAGCAGAAGTAGCGAGTAGGGGAACTCACCTCCATGCTGTTGAAAACCTTGCCATTCCATTCATGCTGCCACTCTCTTGCCTTCTTGCCGTGTCTAAACTTCATGAGAACCATGTAGCGGTTTGCCCTTGAGGTCCGCACCATCCTGAAATGGCTGACTTCGCTTCTCGTGTCCTCGCCGACCCAAGAGAGAAAGTCAGAAGGCGTCATATAAGATGGAACCGCCAGGATGCACAGCGTTGTACACTCTTCATCTTTGGGTGGAGGATGTGGCTTTCCGGAGGGCGGGTTGCGCAGACCGTCGCTCCAAAAGTCACTTGATCTGTAGACCGAGTCTTTATAGAGCCCTGCCGTCTCTTCTGAATCTCTGTAAAGATGCACAATTCCCCATCCTTCTGCGTTGTCGTGGCTTTCCAAGGGTTCATACCGTCCTTTCATATGGTGGCCCGATATCGCGCTTCCGATCCCTTTTCCAATTATGTTTTCCTTTGCGTCCGGACCCTCCCCATCCCCTCCGGAGTGGGCCGACATATCTGTAGTTTCGAGGATGATGGTGTCCAAACGGTGGTCCGTGGGATCGGAATGGCAGATGTCACGAGGGGTGTGTTCCGACGGCGCAACTTGCGGTGGATGAGCACGGCTGGAGAGGTCGTCTTTCTTGCGGTCGAATAGATGATCTCTCGGCTCTCGTCTTCCTCCAGAGTTTGTAAACGGCCTCAGGGCTCTGAAAAAGGACGACAGCGTGGGAGGGTGGTAGTGGTCAGTTTGCTTCGCAGTCAGGGACGGATCTGTGAATAATTCTATAGCGACATGAAAGAAGTAATCAGGCATGTCGCGCAAAAATAGAGACAAAGACCAAGGTGCAAATAGAGGTGGAAAGATACATGGGGAGAATCAAAGTCGAGAGGAACATCAAAAGGCGCGGTCCATCGCGGCGGCGTTCACCTGTGCTTTACAAGGCTGTTCAGTGGCAAACTGCCGGCCGCCACTTGCAGGCACTTGTGAAAATCACGACTTCTAGGGGATGCACAAGCAGAAGAGACAATCTTGACGAGGTATTGTCACGGATGAATATAGAATCATTGGAAAATAAACCATTGAATGGAGTGAGAAGCAAGACATATATTCTGCAACTACTCCTCAGGTGCTTGGCAAATGGACGCCAGCCAGCATGAAAGCAGCGTTCATCCCAACTGCAACTCCATAATGAAACTGCTAGCAATACTGTATGCTGTCCACTGTTATGTCATAGAACCATGTCAAAACGCCGCATGAGTCATTTCTGAGAAATCGCCCCCCGAATCGTCTCGTCACCTACTGGCCGCCACGCAACCGCAAGACCAAGTGTAGAGTGCTCTCCTTCTGGATGTTGTAGTCAGACAGCGTCCGGCCGTCTTCCAACTGCTTGCCGGCAAAGATCAGGCGCTGTTGGTCCGGCGGAATGCCTTCCTTGTCCTGAATCTTGCTCTTGACGTTGTCGATCGTGTCCGAGCTCTCCACCTCCAGCGTAATCGTCTTTCCCGTCAAAGTTTTCACAAAGATCTGCATGCCGCCGCGTAATCTGAGCACCAGGTGGAGCGTCGATTCCTTCTGGATGTTATAGTCGGAGAGAGTTCGGCCATCCTCCAATTGCTTGCCCGCAAAGATCAGGCGCTGTTGGTCCGGCGGGATGCCTTCCTTGTCCTGGATCTTGCTCTTGACGTTGTCGATCGTGTCGGACGACTCAACTTCGAGCGTGATCGTCTTCCCCGTCAAGGTTTTCACGAAGATCTGCATGCCACCGCGGAGACGGAGGACCAGGTGCAGCGTCGACTCCTTCTGGATGTTGTAGTCGCTCAGCGTCCGGCCATCCTCGAGCTGTTTGCCGGCGAAAATGAGGCGCTGCTGGTCGGGAGGAATGCCCTCTTTGTCCTGGATCTTGGACTTGACGTTGTCGATGGTGTCGCTGGACTCGACCTCAAGAGTGATGGTCTTGCCAGTCAAGGTTTTCACGAAGATCTGCATGGTGGAGGATTGTAGAGATGGCGAGGATGATGTTGTATGATACTGTGATGGAAGATTGGGACGGCTCTTGGTCCAAGTAGTTCGAGGGGGTGTAAGTGGTAGGAGAGGGAAGAGAGAAAGATGAACAGAGTGTGAGAAGAGTGGTTTAAGTAGTCGAAAAGAGGCGGCAGGCGCAGGCAGTGACAGAGTGGCAAGCGCGAGTGGGGTGGCCCGCAGTGGCCGGACCAATCAAATGGAGAGCGAGGATCAATAGCATCAACCAGAAGGCAACCGAAGCCTCTCACCTAGACTAGAACCGTTCAAACCGTGGCCATTACTATTCATTCACCGAACACCGAACATGTCAGGAATGAGGACAAGCGGGAGACGGTCATATCAGTGCTGGTCGCCGCTTGGTTTTTTCTGTTTCCCACGTGAGCAACTACCACGACCAGACCAGACGGCAAGGACAGCGGATATCTCCTTCCGCTCTCTTATCCCCCACCTTGCTCGTTGCTCACTGCTCAATCTCTTGCAACCTCAATCTGTCATAGGTACTTCGTATTCTGCTTAAGCGGCGGACGAGGCATACCGAAAGCATTCCGCCTAGATCAATTGTTTTATCTTTATGTCTAGACACGTCCCGGGGCCGCTGATAATTCACTGAGTCGGTGCAGCCCACAGCGCTCTCGCCTGCGCCCTCAGGTTGTTGCCTCCCCCACGAAGTCAGCCTAGGGGGCTAGGGAGGCCCAATGACGTTGGTGGCAGACGCCCACAGACGCGCCATTCCAGACATGAGTCAGCGCTGCCGCGACTGCTGCAACATGGCGTGATGCTCACATCGACCTTTACAATCTCACCTTGTTTGAGGATGCGCTGATGACACTGGAGGCAAGAGATTAAGGAGGCCCATCGATGCCGGAAACAATTCCCAAGACGGAAGAACTTTTTCGCAGTCTGGATTCCCTGAGCTGCAATATCGCACGATTGTCCCATTTCTTTGCCTGCTTGCGGCCGAACCATAATTTATCATCGTCTTTCGGTACCTGCTAACGCGCAGGCTTGGAATTCTCGTACACGTTTGATGCACATTCCCCCGCCGGTCCTCCAGGTCTCTCCCTATAAATGAGTTTAGTCGCGCGTATGAGGCGCCGCGTGGGCCAAATCATGGGCCCAACGTGGGTAAGACAGCCAAATCGCAAATGGCTTGTTGCGAACAATGGTGAGTCCAGAAAAGGAAATGAACACTACAATTTTGGGATACCTGAGATGCCCCAACAGCAGTCCAGCAGCATAAATGAGGTACAAGGTCCATATGCGAAACCACGCTGCATGTCGCGGATGAAGAGCTGCAAGTATCAACGGCAGACAAGAGCAGTTTTCTTCCGTTCAAAAGGGACCACAGACTATAGGAGAACAACTTGCATCGTTGGGAATTTGGTCTCGAGGTTTTCGTAACGACCCGAGAGCCTCCACGATGACTGATACCCGCAAAGCTTGGACCCAGCGTATACTAAATTCCATTCTTGCAACATTCCTCAATATTCTAGGCCTCATCGCTGGGTTTCCAGGGTGTTCAGAAAATGTTGTTTACTTTCCTCCTGTGTCGTACAATGTTGGTCCCTTCCCTGCCATCCCTTTGATGAAACTCGAGCATTCCCAATGTCTGGCGATATTGATCATGTCCCTGACAAGCTCTCCTGACTGTATGATTCAAGCCGAAACAAAACTTTGAAGATGCCGTTTCCAACTGTTGCCGATGAAGGCAACTCCTTTGACGACTTCTTCGACGAAGAGAAGTACAGGCTTGACGGCAGTGATGAGGAAAATAAAGCTCACCCAGACCAAATCGAAACTCTTTTCGCCGACGCCTTTAACCAGGACGAATACAGACTTCCGTCACTTGATGCCTCAGCGGCGAAGACGGATCATTCACCTCCTCAACCGTGGCGCAAGGGCATGTGGTGTTTGAAGCAAAGACAACAACCTCCAAGGCTTGCAGTGGAGAAAACGCGGCGACAAGAGACAAAGAGGACAGAGCCAATTCAAACAATGAATCCCATATATCATAACTTCCATCTGGCGCAAGGACCCGTGTCGCCACTGGAGATCAGCTCGCCCAGCCGAACAAAGAGATTCATCACCTCGCCCGCTGTTGGAGGGTTTGATCCAACCACGTACGTCCGGCCTCCCTTCTCTCGCGAACCCACCTTATCACCGAGCCCGATGTATGCCCAACTCCCTATATCGCCGTGCGCCGGTCATGGCGACATGAGCAACTGGCAGCAGGACTTTCAAAACTTTCACCTGCGCATGCCGTTCGAACGTCCGTTGCTGCCTCAATCCATCTCAAATAAGCAGAATGAACAAAGCCGTTTGGCCCGCCACATGAACGCCGCTATAATGAGCCGGAACCAGGGCATAACTGGTCAAGGACGTGGGTACTTTGACGAGTACAGCTCAAGCCACGCAGAGACGGGTGCCATTGATCCCGTGCTGCTTAGCCCCCAGTACGAGACGCCGCAGGACAACCACCAGGCCTGCGGCGCTGACTCATTCCTTTTGCACGACAGTCATGCTACGCATGGCCTGAATGCGATGCCGTCTCCAACCAGCACAAACCTGCCGTCATCGGGTAGCTCGACTGAGTCCCAGAGCGCCAGGTCGCATACCTCCAATACAAACCTTAGCATGCACTCAAAAGCCATCTTTTCGCACCCCACAGCAACTGCTCATCCTCCGCTGCCGACACTGGCACCGGCAGAGACTTACCCTGCATTGGTTGCTCCCACTCCAAAACGTGTGGCCCATCCGATTCTGCATCAGCCGAACGACAACTCATTGACTGGACTTGGAATCCAGTATCCAGAGCTGGAACAGATGAGTCAAGCCGTCCTCTACGAGCCGCAGGGATACATCCGGCAAGCCCCTGCTCCCATTGGCGTTGCATTGCCTTACCCTCCTGCGACAATGGCACCAAACGCAATGTATTCCTATCCGCCTCTCCCACCACCTCCGTCTAATGTCTTTCCGAACCACTCCCTCTTTACCACGCCTCGGAAACAACGGCGGTCACCTTCCCGATCGCCGTCGCCGTCAGTGTCGCCCACCAACATCAGTCCCCGACGCAACCCTGCGCGGTCGCCGACCCGCAGTGTAACCGACTACAGCCAGAGTCGACGGAAATCGATCCACAAGTCAGGGCCTATTAAGGAGAGCACTGCACAAGATCCTATGCCAGCGACACGGACGAGGTCGTCGTCTCGACCTCCCCGGACACCAAAAGCTCCCAAGACACCTACCGGCGGAGGAGCGGTGCTTGATTTCGTGAATTTCACGCCCAAGGATTCTGCCAAGTTGTTGAGCGATGTTGCACCAAGCGGGAGTTCCAAGACGAGGGCTCGAAGAGAGCAGGAAGCGAAAGAAAAGAGGAAAAAGCTAAGCGAGGCAGCATTGAAGGCTGTCAAAGTCGCGGGAGGAGATGTGGCTGCGTTTGAGAGGGAGATTTTCACGTAGCGGATACAATGGGTGCCTACAAACCAAAGGCACCGTCAGCGCTTCCGTGAGGGTCTGAAGTATTTTATCCTTTTTAAGAACAACTATGCCCATCGTCTGCTTAGCGTTGTCCGGTTGCTTGAATTCATGCTACCAATCAAGATCGCAGGGGGATGGAGATAGTTGACCCGTGGAGCCGGGAATGGGAAGTTTATACTGTAATACTCGAGGTTGTTGACGGCTGTGGGCAGAGTGACACCATGGTTGCTAGTGATCCTAGCACTTTCTAGACCTGGAGATTCGGCAGTGTTTGTACCACACTGAAACTACCACATCGAATATTGTTTCCAATATTATAATGTGTCATGTCACGTATGTGTACAGGGTATCTCGTACTCTGTCCGCGTAGTTGTACGTGCGCGTGTTCTCAGGCCCCTGCCCTCTGCAAGGGTGTTTCCCTTCCATGTTTCAAGTTTCAGTCTTGGGGAGAAGTCGCGTTGACAATCTTCACCAATCAGCACTGGGTAGTAACGATGACGCGTCGAAGATTCCATGGGTGTCCGAGGGGAGTCGCTACGGATGGAACAGGTGGGAGACCGGAACACGGCGTTTGATGAAGAGAGGATTTGGTTGAAGTGAAAGAGAAGAGGGAAATAGAGCTGAAGACTGCGCCCTTACAGTTAAGATGCGCCAGATGAACTGCTCTGACTAAGCCGGCACCCAAACACCCCCAAACACCATGAAGCACCACCCAGATCTCGCTCCAGGGACAGGGACCAAAAGGAACCAACCAACAGGTTTCCCTTTGTCACAACCCACAAGGGCCCCTTGCAGTCATCCACTTACAGTCAGACATCTCACATCCAAGGTGCCTGAGGCTGAAAAAGGTGCAGAGACATAACCTCTCCTTTTCTCATCCCCTTGCCATGTTTACTACCGCCATCCATCATCATGACCGCCATGATGGACAGAGCGAATCGTGCTCTTCAGCAGTTCGCCTCTTTTCGATTTCCCCGTGATGTTAAAGAGCGTGCTATGAAAGATACCGGCTGGGCCGATGTAGGTGGCATTAGTAAAACCTCAAAAGGGCAACAAAACATCATTGACACAAGAGAGCCAGGGTCTCCGAGGCATCGCAGCAGTATTTGTGGTTTCGTCCCATGTTGTTATATGTTATGCAAGAGCTCTTGTTCCGCCCTGTTGTGCCTTTTCCAGCAATGCGCCATACCTTTTTCAACGACCCATTTTTCGCCTCGTGGCCAGCGGCCATTCATGGGTGGCTATCTTTTTCATCCTAATGGGTTTCGTCAACGCCTTGAAGCCCATCCAACTCGCCAGAACCGATCAAGTCGACAAGGCCCTGCAGAAACTCGCCTCGTCGTCGTTCAGTAGGATCTTTCGGCTCGTCCTCCCGGCGACCACTGCCACCATCATCTCTTGGTTCCTTTGCAATCTGGACCTGTATTCGATATCGGCACAGAGTGATGCGTACTGGTTGCATACCAACACTCCCGAACCCAGTTTCAGTTGGCTCGAAGCACTCTTGGACCTGTTTCACGGCCTGCGAGCGACATGGACCTATGGCGACGAAAACATATATGATCAACCGCAATGGGCTCTTGTGTACCTCCTCCAAGGTAGTGTCATGATCATTAGCGCTTTGTCGCTCGTAGTGACCATGACGCCTACCTGGCGCACCGTCACCTTGATTTTCCTGGCATATTGGTCTCTGAATTGGAGCCGCATGATTGGAGATCGTAAGTTGACCGTCAACAAACCCACCATGGGCGCACAGACTAACCGTCAACAGCCTGGGCTGGTCTCTGCTGCTTTCTGGGCATTGCCCTCAGTGAACTCAGCCTCTCGGATATCCCCAAATATCTAGCTCCTTACTCACCTTACATTTCGCCACCCATCACCTTAGTCTCTCTCGTCTTCATGTCATACCCAGGTTCCTACGCCGAGGCAGCATCCTGGTCCACATGGCTTCGCGACTTCGCGACACAGTACTTTCCTACCGAGGCCACCGCCGCCATTGAACGGATGTATGGCTCTCTGGGTGGGATTCTTCTTATTGTTGCTATCCTCATATCTCCTCACGCCCGTTGGATGTTGAGCCGTCCACCTCTTCTGTGGCTCGGGAAAATCAGCTTTGCAATCTATCTCATTCACGGCATGTTCTTAAGGACAGTCTTTGCGTGGGCGCTACACCTGGGCCATTCGAAGCAGATAATGATTGAACACACTCCAAATGGCGAAGAGTACAATGTCGAGCGATACCCATTGCCAGGGTATTTCCAACGCGCTTTCGCGACTGTCGTCATGGGTGCTTGTGTCGGTGTGGCAAGTCACTTCTGGAACTTGAAGTTGGAGCCGCTGTTCGCCAAAATAACCGCCAAGCTCGAAAGGATCGTCACAGGAAATGTCGAGCCAGAGCCCAAGTCCAATGGGACCACCATTCTCCCGTTGCGCAAGGACTGAAGGTGGTGTTAAAGACTAGTGCACAACCGAGGCTCTATCGGCAGGGGTGCCGCGTTGTCAGACTGACGAGCTTCGTAGGTCATTGGATTTGACATTTGGCCCAAATACCCCCGACTCCGCTAAACCTCAACAGAGAACGCGCCGTGCCCGCGGTCGATGGCGATGACACTTGATGTGCTCAAGGAGATTCAGATCACAGCAAACATTATGCTGACAACAAGTGGTGTTCACACTCACCTGTCGGACGAGCTTTACAACCTCCCCCGGGGGTGTGAATGACTGTTGCTGAAACACCTGTCTGGTCATGTCGACGATGGACCTAGGTTGTCTGGGGAGATTCATGTGATCCTTTCAATGCTGAGAGGATAGACAAATGGTTTCTACAGAAAACGAGAAAATTAAAGAAAAAAAAAAGAGGTTGATCCTGAGATCTAGAATTACGAGCAAAAATATATGTGCCAGGAATACAGGATACAAGGCTATGATGTGCAGTCAGACATACCATCTGTGTATGGGTTAAATCAACGGGGTATTCGATAGACGATGGACAGTCTGGCCCGGGATGGGAAAAGATTTTTTTTGGTTTCATTACTATTGGTTTGGGCATCGTTGTCTACTGGATCGGTACGAAAAAGTCGGCACATCCAGCTGCACAAAGGCTGAAGGAGGAAGCCACGGATCCATGGTGCACACCCATCGCCTCGGAACCGATTCTTGATTTGGACTTTTCCTTTCCTCATAGTACGTTCCGGCGTCCGTTCGTGGGCAGAAGATGAGCAGACAACACCTATTCAGAGTAGTGGTTATTGCTGCTCCTTCACTACGCAGGATTTGTTCCTCCTCATCATGTATGTACATGTACATATACATCTATACCACCTACACAACTCCGAACTCGGCTTTGCATGCTGCTCATAACCAGCTGGTACCCGTGGACCGCCGAGGTAGAGAATCAATAGGGTATGTCCAGGTCGCTCCGTACGGTGTGGATGTTGGTATATAATCTCGGACGGAAGAACAGACTGGTCCAACACCCCCCACCACCCCCACCGTGCACCCCCTGACTTGCCTCTTTCCTCGCGCACTTCCATGTTTACGAGATACGATGTGCTGACTAGATTCCCGATGGCAAGAGGAGCCCCCAATCGGCTATCAACGAGAATTCGGTACGTATATTAGGGAGCATGGCCATGGCCTTGGCCCTATATTCGTGATCCGTATAAGTAAGCAAGCTATTGATATTGATATTGCCATAGCCATGGCCATAGCCGTAGCCGTAACCGCACCCGACCACGGCACGGGGGTCGAGTATCGGATTATTGTATTCATAGCCTGCCTGCCTGGTGCGTCCGCGTGGTACTCGGTTGAGGACGGGCAGGCAAGTGGCGTATGTACTCTCGGGCGGTTACGTAGGAGACAAGTCCAGCTAATGCGGTCCGGTGTCCTGCACGCGGAAAGGTACATACATACGTACTTGAAATACTCGGTATCTACCTCCCCTTGGAGTGCTACCAGCGCAAGTCGGGTTGACGACATCTCTTCTCTTGTCCTCGGCAACATAAACACACGCCTCCAAAATTGCTCGTGACGAAGCAGAACAGAGAAGAACACTAACTGCCCTTCCCCTTCGGTTCTAGTCCCCAGACCCTTTGGATCTCGCAATGCCGGCACAAAAGATATCGGCCTTGTGCAGCAGTCACGCCTCACTCGACGAGGGTGACCGTGTAGAGCCACAACCCTTCAACGGCCCAGCAGCACCGATGCAACAACAAAGCACCGTTGGACTCCTGAAGATCCCCTCGTACGCCTCGCTGCCGCCCGTCGCCGGGATGCCGCACGGCTGCACATGGGGCCTCTGGGACGTGCTCCGCAAAACCGACATCACCGCTACACCCAACGGCGGCGGCGGTGGCCACAGACATCAGGAGAAGGAGAAAGACGGCCTCGGCACACTCAACCTCCTGACGCCGGCCGCGATCCTGGCCGCGAAAGCGGAGATCCAACACGGCATCAGCGTCGCGATAAACTGGTCGCTGGACAATTGCTCGACGCCGCATTCCGGCCGGCACCCGCCGCGGCACAAGATCATGACCTTGGCCGAGGCCCAGGGAGGGAGCGAGTGGATTGGCCACGACGACGAGGTGTGGATGAACACGCAGAGCGGGAGTCAGTGGGACGGGTTTCGTAAGTCATCAGTCATCCATCCATCCATGCGGAGCCCTTTCCTTTCATCGCCGTCTCCCCCCGGCTCTTTGTAGCGAAAACGGAAATATAATCTTCAAGGTCTGAGATCGCTGCTCACCAAGGATTGCCTCTGGCCAAAATAGGACACTGGGCGCACCAGCCGACGGGGCTGTATTATAACGGGGTGACGCACAAGGAGATCACAGACCCGAATGCTCCTGTCAGAAACGGCATCGATGGTAAGTTTGAGAATCCCACCACAATCCTTCCGCCTTTCCCTCCCCTTTCCTCTCGTCCAGCTGCTGAACGTCAGGTTGATGGGATGTCAAGAGTGGTCAAGCCGAGGCGGCATCGTCGGCCGGGGCATCCTGCTCGACTACCGTTCCTGGGCTGCACACCAAGGCATTGAATACTCGCCGATCGAACGCCACGCCATCTCGGAGAAAGACCTCGAGGCCGTCGCAGCGTGGCAGGGCACCAGGTTCCGGCAGGGCGACATCCTACTAGTTCGATCCGGGTTCGTGACCTGGTACAAGGAGGCCAATGCAGAGGAGCGGCGTCGGGGGACGGTGGATGGATCGACCTGGGCTGGTGTCGAGGGCACCAGGGACTCGGTCGAGTGGTTCTGGGATCGCCATTTCGCGGCCGTGGGCGGCGATGCGAACGTGTTCGAGGCGTGGCCGGCCAAGGAGGACCGATGGCGTAAGTTTTTCTCTACAAACAAGACAGCAATCGGGGCGTGCCGACTGACCAGTACTAACACAACCCTTTTACTCTTTTTGGCAGGCCTCCACGACAACCTGATCGCCCTGTTCGGAATGCCGGTTGGGGAAATGTTCGATCTGGACGAGCTTGCAGAGACCTGCAAGAGACTGAACAAATGGAGTTTCCTCTTCACCAGTGCACCCTTGAATTTTCCGGGTGGCGTGGCAAGTCCACCAAACGCGATATGCATCCTGTAATAGATTGGCTCCCGGCCTACAACGCTAATACCCTTTGGCTCATTCTCGAGCTTTTAAAATTCGTACTCCAAGTCGGCCCATGCTCCGTCGTCGAGTATGGTACCCCAGTCAGCTGGATAACTGACCGGCATTGCAAGGTTCGATGCTTCGGGGAAAAGGTATCGACCCGCCGAGTGGTTCGACATCGTGTAGATCTGCGCAAGGCTGGGGTCTTGTCCATATTGAGATTTGCCGCTTACCAATGGTGGCTGCTGCTGGTGGTCCATCAACTGGCTTTGTTGTTGTGCTGCCGCTGGACTTACGCCTTCATTATTGAGATGTTCGTGGCTCTTCATCTGAACGGGTGATGCGTTGACAGGCTCGTTGGGGAGCAGCTCGTCCCCGTTTCGAATTCTCCGGACGATCTTTGCGAAGAGGCGGAAGATCCAGCCGCTTACCGGCCATGTGCTCTGCAACTCGCGCAGGGCGATCATCGCCAGTCTTACCTTGACGACACCAAGCTGTTCCAGGATCGACTGGCCAGAGCAGATATCGACGGCTTGCATCCCCATGGCGGCGAATAGAGCTGGAACGATGTGAATTGGGCAGTGTAGAATATGAGACTGTGAGAGAAGTTCTTCGACAATGCGGACCATGCGATTCGCCGCATCCATGGCAAGAAAATGCGCAGTCTTCATCGAAGGCGGAGACAGGTTCTGCGGTGAAATGGACCGGTGGGTGACGATCTCAAACCAACTGTCATGCATACATCAGTTTAGAGGTGATAGAACAGTTTCATAAGAAGCGTTTACCTGTGTGCAATGTGCAGCATGCTCGTCCAAAGACATGTACTGGTGTACTCGATCCGCAGTTCGAGCGGGAGCCCCGACTTCCACTGCTCGAGCGCATGAGAGCAAGACTGAAACATATCGGCATTATCCGAGGTTGTGGCATTGAAAGCGGTAAAGGATCTTTCCACGATGCTCTCAGCAATTGTCGAAAGCTCGACCAATGCAATGACATAAAGCCCGTCGACGCGTTCAGGGGTGCCAAAGATATCCGCCCTTGAGACTGGAGGTTCGTCGAAATCGGCGATATCGAGGGGTTCCACGTCGCAATCTCTTCGTCGAATATGAACTGGCCGACCAAGTGCCGTGGCAGCATGTTTGTCTTCGGCGAAGAGTGACCACCAGATCTTTTTCCACAGGCATCGATCTTTTCGCTTCATGTCTGAGTGTTGTGTTGATCGATGCATGCCTAGCGTCAGTGCCAGGCTAATTGCTATACCTAGCCAGTGCCATGTGTCCTTTTGATCTGTTGGTCCGTTCCACCAAAAGCTGATGAGGAAGACAGCTTGGACGACAGTGACCTTGTTCGGTTCATGGTCGTTGTCGTAAAGAGCTTTTGCTCGCTGGAAGAATGTCTTCCGAGCGTGATATCTCGATTCAAATCCAGCATCCAGGAGGACAGACAGCTCACAATGCCCCGACGCCATGAACAAGACACTCTGTAGTAAGAGATACGATGCTGGGTTTTTGAGATCAATGTATTGAGCAGCAAAGTCTTCGCGATCAATCACAGGATAATGAGGATGGACGTATTCGAAATAGGTCTGAAACAGCTGGTAGCAAGTATGGACGGACGGTATGTTAAAGCATCCTTGATGCTGAAGAAACGACGTCAGGACATTGTCCTCTTCCTCCTCTACAGGACTGGACGTTCGATTCTTGGGGTTGAATCGGACTACGTAGTGCCTTTTCCGTGTAGACCGAGCAGAATCAGGATTAGTCTGGCGCAACAGATGCGTCAAGTTGAAGGTCTCTCCCATGTACATGACATGGACCACGCCTCCTTTGACATCCGGCAGCATGCCCGCGTTGGTCGCCTTGTCAAGGACTTGAGCATAGAGTGTTTCTTGAGACTCTTGTCCCAAATCAGGCTTGTCAGGGACACACGTCGACGTGGATGCTGTGCGAGGGCGGCTATCCTGCGGCTTCTTTGGCAGGTTCCTCACTCCTTTGAGAGGATCGTAAACATTGCCATGCCCAGAGGTGGTCTCCGCGGGGGAGGAGGCTTGTGCAATGCTCGACAGGTCGCGTTGAATAGCAGAAGGAGAGGTCGACACCTTTCTCTTCTTGCCTCTTTTGCTCTCAATGAGCATGCAGCTGCGGCCGGCGACCTCGCAGTTGGAACATGGCGTCCCCTTTGCTGCGGCATTGCACTTCACGCGCCTTGAATGACACCAGGTACAGGCGACGGCCGAGCGCTGTCGAGGTCGGCCTCGCTGCGTCGAAGATGTCTGGTGCGGTTGATCCATTATTGGTGGAGTCATCTTCGGCAGTCTCGAAGCGGTGGGCGAGCGAGAAAAGGTCATAGGCTATGGGCCGGAAATTGGCCAGACGCAGGTCTTTTTGAATGATTGTGGGCAACAAACGGTCGGGGTAATGCTGCGCGGAATCGACACCGAGAATTCCGTAAGACTACGGAGTAGACCGAAGGTGGTTTGATGCTCATTCTTCTGTGAAACCCCAAGGCGGCGTAGATGTCGTGATGGCCCTCGGGAATGTCTTTACAGGACAGCTAGTGTATACCCCTCTCACTTGTCAAAGAGAGATGCATCGAACTCATATCGCTCGTTCTGTCTGCAGATTAATGCCCCATCCCCCTCTTTTCTGGCCACTCTCCGTCTGGGGTCCTTCGCCTCCGCTTATGTGCGTGGCTCTTCAGAAAAACTCACCTCGACTTCTGATTTAGGAGAATCCCCAGCGACCCCGACACAGCGTTCGACGAGACGGCGCTAAATAGCCATGCCGTGTTCCCGCAAAACACCAACAGCAGAACATTGCTAGCAAGATTCCTTCAGGCATTATGTCGGCAATGATTTTCGAGGTGAAAGTTGGAGAAAGATGGTGAGAAGATCGACGGCGACAAAACCCTCCCCTGTAGCTCGCCCTGCGTCTTTGGTGCCAAGGTTCCTGTGTCTCTCCAATGGAGGATCCTTACCAACATGTCTCGCATCATTGTAATGCGCAGAACGCCAGTATTGATCATCTGTAGAGCAATTCCTTGTGTCCCCCTGCAATGACGTGTCAAAACAGCCTGTACTTCAAGGAAATTTATCCAAAGGCAGCCTTCGAGAGGAAACTTTGCACAAAATGCCATTCACCTTATGGCAATTCTCGCACCGGAGGGTTTTCGCCACGACAGGAACGAGGCGAAAGTGTCATCTTCTGGCTGGATAACCGAGTAAGCCCGGTATAGCCTAAGGGCCCAGGGGTAGTGGGCGTAATACCTCTAACTAATAAGTCCTTCACGACAACATCGATGTACGCGTAGGGGCCCGCAGTAATGGAAATATGTATATCAATGCGTGGAGACCCCACAGTCCAGCTGTAGGATCAGCCATCTCCTGCAGACTTGCATCTCTTCTGTCGGACCTGCGACAAGATGGCCAGAACGTACACCCTCTACAATTTACGGATCATCTTGGTCTTAACCTTGGGAAGTCTCACCTTTGGGTACGGCTTTTCGGTCATCTCCAACACCATAGGGCAGCCTGGGTTCATCCAATACTTCAACCTAAAAGCCAACTCGGACTACACCAACGCCATCACCGGCACCATCAATGGCTTATACTGCGCAGGAGCACTGTTTGGGGCGCTTCATGTGGGCTGGATGTGTGAGGCCCGCGGCAGAAAAGAGACCATGTACTTGGCGTCGGCCGTCAATGTCGTGGGCGGAGCCCTCGAAACCGGTTCTGTCGACATGGCCATGTTTCTCGTTTCCCGGTTCATTTCAGGCTGGGGTATAGGCATGATGGTGGTCTTGATCCCCATTTACCAAGCCGAAATCTGTCTGTCCCCCCTCCTTTCTGGACGCCTGGCTGCAATGGGGAACATGTTGGCTAACGATGGATATCAGCGCCTCCCAACGCTCGAGGCTTTCTCGTCGGGCAACACGGAACTTGGATCGTCTTGGGATACGCCATTGCCGGGTGGGTTGGCGCGGGAACGTACTACTCGTCAAATCTGTCCTTCCAGTGGCGGTTCCCAATTGCCCTGTCGATTATACCGCCCCTTGCATTGGCCATATGCGCCCCGTGGATTCCAGAATCCCCTCGTTGGCGTAAGTTACATTGTTTGACCAAACGTCCCCTCGCTTTTCGAAACACTCACAGTGGTCAGTACTCACCAGAGACCGACGCGAGGAGGCCTGGAATATTGTCAAACGCTTGCACGGTGGCGACGCCGAGGACGAAGCGAGCCTCCAGTACGCCCGCGAAGAATTCTACCAAATGACTGAGCAGGTTCGAGTGGACGCCGCCGCGTGGAAGCAGGGAGGGTGGCGCGGTATGTTCACAAACAAGACCTACCGGAAGCGCTTCTGGATGGGCTTCTTCATCCAGTATGCCGCTCAATCGACGGGCGCTCAGGTGATTTACGGTAAGCACACTTGGCACACCGATACACTGCGTCAGTCAGCCCCCAAATTGACTCTTTGTTCCTTTTTGTCAGTATACATTGTCTCCTTGTACCAGAATCTTGGACTCACTGGCGGAGTTCCGTTGATTTTGGGAGCAGCATATGTCACCGTTGCAACCATCTCCAACTTCGTCGGGGCACTGCTCCTGGATAGAGTAGGACGAAAACCACTTCTGCGTAAGTCAACCTCTCCGTTTTCTTTCGGGCTCCCTTCCTTTTGTGTGACGCCGGGATGAACAAAGGCTAAAAAAACGATTGTCGCTTAAATATAGTCACCGGGCTCACCGGATGCATGCTCTCGGTGTGCCTAGAGACGGCCATGATAGCCGAGTACGCTGGTACCACCAACAAAGCCGGACTTTCGATGGGGGTGTTCTTCTCGTTCTGCTTCATCAGCTTCTATGGAGGTGGCATCGACGTGGTTGGCTATGTTTATTGCTGTAAGTGGTCTTCGTTTCCGATTTCCCTCACCTTCCATGCATGAAACGTGCCGTCTGTCCCCAGCAATAGAAACGTGGTGGAATAGTCCCTGAACGGAGAAGGGCCGTGTCGGTCCTAGCTAGCATACCAACATGCTGGTCCGTCGGGCACTCTCTAAGCCATGTAAGACTGTGTCGGTGCCCGCATGCACCGTTTGTCATTTCTCCCACGAGTCATATCGGAATGCAGAAGTTGCACCCCGGATTGTGCGCTGACATGCATATTTTCGGGTGCATGAAGCGGAGATCTTCCCGACCACAATCCGATCTCAGGGCGTAGCCTGGTCTCTCGCCGGCACATTCCTCTCGACCTTGGTGTACGTCGAGGCTGCGCCGACGGCCTTGGCAAACATCAAGTGGAAGTACTACATCGTTTTCATCTGCTTGACCTTTGTCAACATTTGGATCTTTTACTTTTGGTGTCCTGAGGTAAGAGGGAGACTCTCTTTCACCCCCGGGGTCCTGATATTTGCTGATAAATTCCGCCTAGACTCGAGGTAAGTCGCTGGAAGAGATTAATGCCCTGTTCGGCGACGAAGTGGTCGTACATTTTGCGGATGCGACAGAAAAGCAACGGCATGAATTGACCGCCAAGGTATTGGCGCAAGACGAAAAGCATGAGTTTGCCTCAGGGCGCGGGGAAGGCGTCGAGGGGGCGAGCACTATGACAGCGTTAAAAGTCTAAAATGGAAAAAGGAGCGGGGTGTGGTAGCACAAGTGACTTTGGGAGGGAGGGGAGAGGAAAAGAGAGTCCGACGATGATGATGACGATAATGGAGGCAGCAGATTTCCCGATAAAGCGGTATGTACCGGTAGGCCGGGCGACTTGTAAGAGGGTGAGTCTCTCTGCACAGCAGGAGTGCGTACTTGTAGTATCGAGTACCTCGTACTCGGTAAATAGATACCTACAGTAGCACCTCCAGACATATCGAGTATCACCAGCACCGGAGGATGATACAGCGAGAACGGACAGTCGCACTCTTGGAATCTGGATCGCCCCGTGGTGGTGTGTGATTCATGCGTATCTTGCCGGAATGTGGTCACGAGTGACGTAGATAAGAGTCCGAAGCACAGGGATGGGCAAGATGAACAAGATGGGGGGAACAGGGGAGCGGAAGCCTCAGGAAGAGCAGGAAGAGGGAGGCGAGGCACTGCGCTGCGCTGGGTCACGATGCTGGCAAGGCCGTGGCTGGGGCTTTTGACAAGGAGGAGGGAATGATTTGCTGAGAGTGAGCAGTGCCTTGTGGCTTGCATTAGGCTACGGATATTAATATCCTCGCTAAGACAAGCTAGCAGACGCTAGCGCATGAGCCCCGATAGCAGCCACCAACCACAGCAATGTTTTTTCAAGTGGATCTCGTATCCCAGCATTGCCATTGGCTTGTATTCCGTAGCCACCCCGGTCTCCACTGCGCAGGTACCTTTAATCCAATTTCCCGGGGGCTAAACCTACTATAGCCCAGATTTGCCCTGCCTCTCCTGTACAGGGCCACTGTACAAGGGGCTTGAAGGGGCTAAACTGAGACATTGCGCCATGCAGGTCCCATGTCAATCAAACAAAACTCTATCTATCGAAAAACAATAACCAAGAAACGCCCCAGTCGCCAGTGCTCGAGCAAGAGGGCATCGTGTCACCAACCCACCCAGGTCCCAGGCACTAGTACCGACGGCAACCTCCAGACCCAGGCGTCACCACCAAAGAGTGTCTCATGTAAAAGAACGTACCGAGTACCCTGTACGCCATCACCAACCTCGCCCTTTTTTACCTCCCCCCTTCCAGCCTGGGTCTGCTCGAGCTGTCCTGCTCCCCTCCTGCTCTCTCCACCCGTCCAGACTCTACTGCTACCGAGTACATACTCTCGTTCTCAACCCTACAGTCTAAGCTTGGAACTATCCATCATTCTTCAATTCCCCGGATTTTCGTGGTGGAAAGCCCGCTGTCGTTTGCTTGACGAAGTATCCGAGTACCGCACAGTTCGCTTCCAATACCTATGCTCTGAGATTGCGGGATCGACTCGACTCTTAATTTAGTAGCTGTACATTTCGCCCCAGGCTGCCACCCACGCCTTGTTTGATCAATTGAATTGCCGCTCAAAGGGGAGCCCGACGCCACCAAACCCGACAGCACAGACCCTGGCGTGGATTCCATTATTTTCTCGACGACATTGTTTATTGTTGTACCCCGGAGAGACCACCGTCACCCTGAATACCGATACCCCCTTCCAACGGCCGACGTCGTTGCGCTTTTTGTTCTCGTCTTTTCGCCTTCTCTGCATCGGTTCAACTGGTTGAACTCGGATGATTCTTGCGATACAGAAGCAATAGCATCAACACCCAGCGTCGCTTCCAACAATGGC